CCCCCCCTCTTTCCCCTCCTCTCCAGTGACCTGCTTGACTGCATGAGCCTGATTTATGGTAAAATCTCGCAGTTTACTGCGCTCCTGTAACGCAGCCGACAGCAGTTGGCCGACGGAGGACTGAGAAGTCTCGTTGACTTCGTCTCCGTCACCTACCCCCCCCCCCCCGCTCCCCTCGCTCTCCTCGGATATGAAACATGAAACACGACGTGGTTGAAGGAGGAGAAGAAGGGGGAGGAGGAGAAAGTGGTGTGGAGCCGCAGCAGCAGTGCCTGGGCCGAGGCTCCCTTGACATGACGCGATACCCGACGGCCTGCTCGGCGAGCTGCTCGCCCTGCGCTGCGCAATGGGACCAATGGGAAGCTTCACACACAGACACACGCACATACACAGAGAAGCAACGTGTGCTCGATTATTCACTCATCAAAAGCGTTATTATACCCGAGGTTGTAAGCTGTATTGAGAACCCTAAGATCCATATTATGTCCTCGCAATGTTCAACTTTGCAAGTCGCAATTTTATAGGTTGACATGCCGAGGATAGCGTACACACGTATTGTGTCAGTACTTGTGCAAACTTGAAACATTTCAGTGACGCTGCTCATCATTTGGTTCCCACTGTTACCAAACAAAATGCGTCTAAGTGTGCAAATAAGACATTGACACTTTCGATTCTACACCTACACATATTGGGTGGGCAAATAAATCAGCTAGACATTAATAAGTTCGTAATGTGCGAAACACATAATACACGTGTGCAAAACCATTAAACGTTGTTTTGGTAGTGCTTGTACGTATCAGGTATACACAGTTTACTATACAAGTTGCGAAACGCAAACCGATGTTTAATCAATACCGAAAGGGGACGATTTTGCCCAAATTACCTTTCAGTATGATTCAGTTAGTATTTGTAATCAATTCCACGTCACAAACTCTCCCTCCGGGGGTCTCCAGCTCCAGCCGGGCGGGCCTGTCGCTAATCCCACCGCCTCTCCCGTGATGGATGCAGACACT